CCGGGCAGTAAGAGGAGCTCCCACACACAGAACAGAGACTCCATTACTACCTAGGAGTCTCTGTTTTCGGCCACCAGGGAGGAATCTTTTTCGAAGGGAAGGGGAGGGGAGGGGGGGGGTGGAAGGGGGAAGTGGTATGGCTCTCACAAGCCACAACCAGACCCCTATAATGTTAGGGGACCCTGTTTCCCACCAACTACACACTTGGGAAGGGGGGGGGGTGCACCTGGCTTAAAGGGGGTCATTCTTTGCTGCTGGTTGACCCTTAGTTCAGCCAGCCTCCAGCATTCATTATGCATATACCCTCTGGTCATTATGGTTACAATGGTTATTTATATCTAATTAATAGCAATTATTTTTAAGTACTGTTATACATAAACAGCTGTGTTTTTACACTTATACTGCTAAATAAGATGCTGGTTGTATTAACCTCACACAATTTATTTTTTTTGTTATTATATATATATATATAAGGTATGACTTGCTTGTTAAAATGTGATACATGCATATATGTTTACTTATTGCTGGTTAACATATGTTAAGAATGTTCTGCAAGTATTGGTAACGTTAAATCTTAACTAACATCATATACATTGGGGGGGGGGGGTGGTAATACGCGGCAACCCCCCCCAGGACTCTTACTACGCCATATTTATATATGTTCCACTTAAGGGTTCATTATCTTAATTCTCATACCCCCAGGAATCCGCATACCTCGGACGGGTCACCTAAACTAACCCCCCCCTACTCAAGAGACACCTGAATTCTCTTACAGAACCAGTGCTCAATTTTCTGCAGGTATGTCGGTTACACGCTTCTTTTTCTACAACGCCACGTTAGTTAATTCCCTGCCCCTTAATCATAGAGGTCCGCAAGGCCAACTCCCATCCTCCACTTCGAGGTACTTTACGCCCCTCGGGCCAAATCATAGTTAGCCGCCTCGCAATTATACAGAGAGGGCGACACCTGTCACTACCAAACCCCCCCTCCCTTTTTCTTCCTCCATACTTACCCTTGGAGAGGCAAACATCCCGGTTCACTGGGCAGGCTACCATACCCCTCGCGCCAACTCACAGATAGAGCCTCTCTAGCCACTTGGCACTAGTAGGGCCTCACCTGCCACAAAACCTAGAGTTAAGTTTTTCGCCATCTGGCACTAACTAGCTACCGGCTATTCCAACGAGCCTCCAACTATGCCTGTTATTACTTTCAGTATGTCCCTGCTCCCAGATGATGGCGACGACATGTCAGTCCCTAGCACCCGGGCTAGGTCACTTACCCCGACACGTAAGGACGACATAGGAAGTCCCTCGTCCATCAGATTGTGGACTATCCCTCGCATCACGGCGGAATTACGCAAACGCAGTATCCCTTTCCCGGCCACGGCCAGGAAAGCAGAACTGTTTAAACTGCTTAAAACAAACACCCTTATGACAGACGCGGGGGAAGGCACTAGTAACTCCCAAGACCCGACTCTCCATGCTATGGTTGCCTCCCTAATCTCTTCTATGGGAAAGGTCAACGACAGACTGGAAAGGCTGGAGGCACGCAGCTCCGCCATAGAGTCACCTGTGCCTCTCGCTGGTACAGCCCCGGTCATATCCACAGCAACAGCGGGTAATCCTATACCTAATAAGACAGCGGCACATGTTATTAACCCTGCCCACATGGTTCCGGCCAATCTTAAAAAAGACATCCTGGAGGGCAAGGACGTAAACTTGGTCTCTTTGCTCATTGCCTCCCAGGATGTAGTGGAAAACCGCTCTTACGACTACGGGGACATCTCTGTTGTTTTAAAAGCCAGAGACCCCAGACTCAGTAAGAAATTGACCATTCACGATTTTGTCCTGTCTTTTGGTATCTATAAGGACATCCTGTGCTCAGTTCATCCACACAGGAGAGAGGAACTGGACTTATATCTGCACAAACTGGTGGACCTGGGTAACAAATATGGTGGTTACACTTTTTATGACTATCACAAGTCTTTTTCATCTAAAGTGTCAGCCACATTGTCCCAGTATGGCATCCAGATGGATTGGAGCCAACTGGACAATGAACTGTTCCTCAGGCACTTTGCGGGGCTCAGGACACCAGCTTGTGCCATATGTACATCACCCGCTCACACAGCTTATTTGTGCCCCCTCTGCCCGGACAACGCTCCCAGCACGTCCCTACAACACCCCCTTAAAACTGAGAAACAGACCAGAGACAAATTGGGTCGTCCGGTTGTGTACCTAGGCAAGTCACAAATTTGCAATAACTTCAATGAAGGCTCCTGTGGTTACAGCGCTTGCCGCTTATTACATGTATGCTCACACTGTTTTCGGGCACATGCGAGATCCATGTGCACAAATAAAATGTTACAGAAACCTTATTTGTCTCCAGTGAACGTTCCTGTACTTGAACACATGCTGTCCACTCACCCCTCTAAACACCTGGTGGAATTTTTATGCACAGGTCTCACCCACGGGTTTCACACGGGGCTCATTTACATGCCAACAGGAGTGTTAGAATGTCACAATTTGCAGTCAGCCTCTAATAACCCTACCGCAGTCACTAACTTGCTACAACTGGAAGTGGACCAGGGATTTGTCATCGGTCCTTTTGGTAATCCCCCCTTTTCCAGTTGGAGAACTAACCCTATCGGGCTGGTCGCAAGTAAAAATTCAGACAAACAAAGGCTCATCATTGACCTATCCGCTCCCCACTCTTCAGCCATCCCCAGCCTAAACTCATTGATTCCTTCGGAAGAATTTTCCTTACAGTACTCCACTATTGACCACGCTATTGCAGCTATCAGGTCAGCGGGGGTGGGGGCCTGGCTCAGCAAGACGGATATAGTCAATGCTTTTAAACTATTACCTATACACCCCTCGTTATGGCACCTACACGGAGTTAAGTGGCAAGAAGCCTACTACTTTTTTACAAAACTCACTTTTGGAGCCAAGAGTAGTCCAAGGATCTTTGACACGTTCGCTGAGGCTTTGTGTTGGCTCCTCCTTAATACCAGTAGGTGCCAAAATGTGATACACTATCTGGATGATTTTCTGTTCATCGAAGCCAACACCAACCCCCCGTGTAGCCTACACAAAGCTGTCAAACTATTCACCGCACTCGGCGTCCCCGTATCACCCACCAAGACAGAAGGTCCAGACACAGTCATCAACTTCCTAGGTATTCTGCTCGATTCAGCAGCTATGATGGCCAGCCTCCCTAGAACTAAGATTGATAACATTCTACACGACATTAACCACTACATGCACAGGGGCTCATGCAACCGTAAAGAACTACAATCTCTGTTGGGTTCACTAAATTTCGCCATGCGCATAATCCCCCAGGGCAGGGCTTTCATTTCCAGGCTCCTCGCCCTGTTCCCCACCTTCACCAACGACTATGCCCGCATATCTTTGAACGGCCCTGCGACTGCCGACCTTCAGATGTGGTACAGATTCCTCTCTGACTGGAATGGTAGGAGCATGTTCCTTCCACAGCTGGATTCTCAGTCACCTGTCATTTGGACAGATGCAGCATCATCCGCGGGATATGCGGCCATTTTTGGCACAAATTGGCTCTGGGGGACGTGGCCAACAGAAACACAGGGCATCGAGGGGTTTCACACTAACTCTGCCCTTTTTGAGGTATACCCAATAGTTGCCGCAGCTGTCACTTGGTGTAGGTTGTGGGAAGGTCAGTCAGTACGCTGTTTCTCTGACAACATGGCAATATGCCACATTATCAACAAAGGCCGATCTTCCTCCTTGATAATTATGAATTTCATTAGGAAACTGACTTGGCTGGCAGCCACCCATCACTTCCACATTGTATGCTCCCATGTTCCCGGCATATACAATACGGCAGCTGACCAGCTATCTCGCTTTCAATTTCAGGCTTTCAGATGGTCCCTACCCTCGGCAGCTCGTATGGCAACCCCAGCGCCAACCTTCCAAGACCTTGTCATGGAATAGATGAACTACTTCATCACAGCCTCACTTCATCACAGCCTTTGTCCACTAGCACTCAACACTCATATAACAGAGCATTTCACCTATATAAACGATTCATGACTGACCATCATCTAACCAACTGGTTCGAAGTATCATCACTAATGACTTTTGCATCCTTTTGCCACCTTAAGTTAAAATTCACACATAACACCATTAAGCTTTATCTCACGGGGATACAACACCACATGTACTACTCACTCCCTAACCACAAAGG